CACACTACCTCTATGGGCAAGAAAAGCTACACACTTTGAGCAAAAGGCACTGTGTTAATGCTGAAAAAAGAAGCTTGTTCTTCATAAAAATAGGAAATTGGTTTACTGCTGCTTCGTCTGTGCATTGACTGCTGTAGCTATGCAGATACTGTAGTGACAAGCAGCAGTACACTCTAAGGTCAACCGTGTGTTGTCATCTTTAATTGGTGTTGCGGTTGTTGCTAGAAAAATAAAATGGTTTTGGAAGAAGCCGGGCGTGCACCTAGGGCATGTAAATATTTAGATGGGTCATGAGTCACCTCCCTCCCGCTTACTCTTCCTCTTCATATGCTCTCCTTGCTGCCTTTTTTTAAACACTCCATCTTCTCCTGTCGCTCGCTGCAAGAGGAATTTTGTGAGCCGCAAGATAAGGAAAGCTCACACAGGAAAAGCAGAAGGAGCAACTGCAAAAGCGAAGGATTTAGATGGAAAGCTGACTGATAGGAGAGATAGGGAGGAAAGATGAGGTGTATGTCAAGAGCCCAAGGCGGTGTTTGTCTTGGGGGCCGTGAAGAGAGGACAGTCATGACCTGTTTACAGTGGATTCACATCACTTTGGATCTCCAGAGAGAGGGGACAACAGCTGCTAGATAGAACCCACTGCACTTCCCATCTGTGTGATCAAGAAAATGTAAACTACTAGCATAAAGTACTGACTTGAACCAAGCTGTATTCCAGATCTGGATCAGCAACGGCAGCACAGAAACATGAGCTGTTCATAGCCACAGGCTAAAGCTAGCTTCAGTTCTGCATTTAGGGGCAGGAGACGAGCTCAGATGCCTCATGCGCTGCGTGTGGGAAGAGGGCTTTTAGTATTTTGTCTGTGAGAAGCGAGGGAGTGAGGGGGAGGAAGAGTGACTGACAGCGCGAGAGAGAGACTAAAGTCTTGGCAGGCGTCTAGTTCTGACGCTTCACTTCTGAAGTGTAGGCTTTGGTTTGAGGTTTTGCTGGTGCGGTGTACCCATAATTCCCGGCATGACTCAGAGGAGACTGGAATAAGACCTGCGGAATGGGAAATCGTCCCTTTCGACTTCTCTCGCTAAGTGCCCCTGACCCCACTACCAACTTTATGGCCAGCTATTTTTTAAGCTGTACAAGCTTACCTCTTTCGGATGAGACATAAACCGAGGTCCCCAGCTCGGTGGTCTTTAAAAATCCCAGGATGTCCTTCGAAAAAGAGTAGGGGTTTAACCCCGGCATCCTGGCCAGATTTGCCCACCAACCTCCATCCATCATGGCCTCCTAACCATTCCCATATGCCCCAAAATGGGTAAATCGCTTTAAGTGTCTAGAAAAGTGCTCCATAACTGTAAAGAATTTAATTAATTATTTTAATTAAATTAATACAAGACACAGCTAATCATTTCACCACTAAACCCACTAAGGGTCTGGCTGCAGAGTTGCACTTGTATTTTCAAGCTTGCACTCTCAGGCACCCATGCTTCCTATGCATATGATGTCATTTACTACCGACACCTGCACTGTCCAGTCACGTCACTTATAATCGACACAAATAAACCGAAAGTAAGTTTCCAGTTCTCGTGCGTTGCCAGTGACGACATTGTCAAATAATTCTAAATACTAAGTTATATACCATGGCAGATATGCCCCATTCACCCCCCACCCACCGAAAAGTGATTTGTGTATACATCATATGATTATAATGCTTTAATGTAAATTTACCAAAACAGGTCACTATTAGCATTTGTACCAGCAAAGCTTATTATTCATTTATATGAACTATCAGGCCTACACACAAAGTATTCTTCCACAGTTATGAATAAAAAAAACGCAAGCTAATGCAAATTAGAATTTTAGTTTTTATTTGAAACATTTTAAGGAGTTGTAGTATGACAACTAACCAATACACATTATAGACTTAGAGAAATAAATTTTGAATGACTTGGGAAACTATTCTTTATTCAGCAGGTCCCAGAACGATTGCAAACAAGAATGCAGATGTCGATGCAAGTGATGTGGCAGGAGAGTGCAGGGCTTATTTGCATGAAAGTCCTTAACCAAAAAATCCCTCCGTTTAAGGTTAAGGGTGGCCTTAGTAAAAGTTGGGTTGCAAGGGAAAAAAAGAAAAAAGATCAACTTAAGAAATGTAAGGCTGCCATTAAGTATTTTCCCTTAGTCCTTAGTAACCATTTCCTTTAAAACAGGGACATAATCAGCTCCTTTGAACAAATGACACTCAAAATGCAAGCATTCTCACCCCCAAAAAAGTGTTGTAGATAAAAGATCCACAGGACTGTAGATAAATATTTTTTTTTAAACTATTTAATAAATAAACTAATACATACGTGTTGATAAGCATGTATGTGCAGGAGTGCATCCATATGAAATTGCAGTTTCAGTGCAGATTTAAAGTCTCTACATGATCTCAGCCCAGTTTTATAGGTCCTCCAAACATAATGTCGAGATCAACTCGATAAGGGAACGTCTCAACTCGCTTAACGGAAAGAAAGCGGCACAGATTATGTTTACTGCAGAGCTGTTGTAAGGCAAAGATTGGTGGTTTTGTTACGATCTGTTTAACTAACTATAGCAACTGTGGCGCCCATTGCCGTATGTTGCCAGAAACTACAGTGAAACGCTTAGAAAAAAGGCACTTAGGTAAGGGTGACAGATAAGACGTGTGTTGCAACAATCTAAACCCCCACAGGGTTACCCTTAAATTAAAATACTGAAGGACAAGCGGGTACATTTGTCGATTGTAAATGATGTCACTTAAATAGGAAGCGCGGTTGCCTGAGAGTGCAAGTCCAAGAGTGCAAGCCTGAAAGTGCAAGTGCAACTCTGCAGCCAGATCTGAGGACTTTGCTTTGTTGCCAACATTTTCCCTGGCTTTTATTATATCTGCAAGTAGGATTTGGTGGCATTATATGTCTTGTTTACCCCTGGCGAATAGCTCGCAATGGGTTTCATGTTCACTTTCACCTCTGCGGTCATTAGGTTCTCCGGATGGCTAGTCTTCATTCATTATCACAGAGCCACGATAACTGAACAAATACACTACGTATTATAACCCCAGATGGGGTGAGACAGTGTATGCGGTACTTTTCCACTAGTCACATGTTTAATGCTGAAACTGTGTGGATTAGTCCTTCCACAGATGTCAGTGTTTAGTGCTAAGCTTAAAGAGAAGTAGTTCACCCAAAATTAAAATTACAGCATCATTTATTGTTGCTTGTGTGACTTAATATGCATATTTCTTCTGAAAAACATAAAGCACTAAAAAAAAAGAATTACATAAAAGTCTATTTAAGAGTAACTGTAACGATTCAGTTAAATAAAAATACATATAAAAAGAGCATGATGGTTGCTTTTCACTGCAGTTTTCAAAAGTTCCTCATGCTTTGTACTGTAATTAAGTGTTGCTGTCCTTTGTTATTTCTAAGTTGCTATGTTGTATTTAGGTTGTTACAGCACATGCAACAAATAGTTGTTTTCTGTGTCAGTGATGTTAAAGATTTTTAAAAGGGCACCCATTTTACCCCTTTTTTCAAGTGTTAAGATAAGTATTTGTGTCTCCAGATTGTGTCTGTAAAGGTTCAGCTTAAAACACCCAGCAAATTATGTATTATACCTTTCAGAAGTTTGTAATTTTCTGCTCTAAAAAAAATTTAGCTGTTTTTGTTGCCTGCACCTTAATTGCTAGTTCTCCCCGCCCACCATTCCTACATGCCTGTCAGAGTGTGCCTCAATCTCCACCTCGTCTAAGTCAGATAAACAGCACAATGACAGACATGAAGGAAGCAGATCTCACGTTAACATTTGTGAGAAATACTACAGTAAGAACTTTCCCAATGATTATTTGATGTATTTGTTATGGAGTAAATTCAAGCCTTTCTTTGACGATGAGTCATACACAATGTTGTAATAAAGTTCATGCACACACATCGCGTGCATTAAACTTTGCACTGTTTCTGCACGTAAAAGTGACAGTATACACGTTAATATCAACGTATCAATGTTAATTTACAAAATAAACCTGATTTAACATCCACAAACCAAAATTGAAGAGTCTGTCTTAATTGTACTGACATGTGGCTTTGGTGATAAAGATGGTAAAATTGCTGTAATTCATTACAAACATGCACTGTTTTAAAAACTTTTAAACTGGTAAACTCATTCTTAATTATATTTGATGACGACTGATGACCACAGAGTGCTGAACAGATCTTTTAATCCTAGTTGCTTTGCACATATTCTGTCTTGTTGATATGATTATATGTGTTACTACAAAGGCATGTTAATATGCGGCTGGCAATCAATTTGGTGGGTGGGGAAACTGCACTCTTACGTCACGTTGCGGTCAGCCTCAAAATGGGAGGGATTTGGATCCTATTGTAATGTCAGGAAGTTAAAAAAAGAGACTTATTGTGTTAATATCACCACAGTATGACTGTGGACACACTATACCTACACACTGTTCTGTCCAAACAGCTTATAAAAAATGATTTTCATCATAGGTGATCTTTAATGCTTCAGCAAAGGGAATTTTTTTTTCTTTTCAGAGCTTGACAACCAGGTGCTGAACTTGTTTGTATAAAACTCCTTCTGCAATTCACAGATAAAACAGCATGCAAGTTTGGATGACATTAGGGTGAGCAGACAATAACAGATTTTCAGTTGCGCGTGCTCTATCCCTTTAAGCCACAACATGCCAATAGAATATAAATTGTGAAGTGGAGGCTGAGGATTCTTCCCTGATTAGGCTGGTGATTTCCTTTAATGGTTGATCATAGTGACACAGTCTTCATCAGCTCTTTATACATTCATGAAACGTTTGCTGTCTCTAAAGTAAGAGGCAATCATGGCTGTTTGTGTTCCACATCTCTATTTGTGCCATGTTGGCCAGAGACAGGAAATGTAATGCTGTCACTGGCAAAGCTTTGTTTGAGCTTAATGACAAGACGTGCGTTTTTACTTTCTCTCACTCTCTTTCTCCACAGATATGATGGGGAGAATGGGCCCTCTCCTGGCCGAAGCCCCATGGATTCGCAGGCAAGTCCTGGGCTGGTTCTCCATCCCTCCTTTCCCCAGAGTCAGAGAAGGGAGTCTTTTCTCTACCGCTCAGACTCTGACTACGACATGTCCCCCAAGACCATGTCACGAAACTCCTCCATCAACAGCGAGGGGTAAGCTGTCTCCCTCAACACACGGCACACTTTCACTGTTTACTGTCTGCACTTTTCATTTCTAAAAGGCCTCTGAGGAAGTTCTTTTATCCCACAATCACCATGCAGCATTAAGCACATAAACTAAATCCCTCTTTACCCGTCTCACTGTAATACTGTTACACCCTCAGAAGTGCGCTCAGCATGTGGCAGTGACCACCGTGACTGCCGCTTCTGGATTACGGCCATAAAAAAAGTGGTTTGATGTCAGGCTAAATCTATTTCTTCACACCTGGGGATGATTCGCCATCTCAGCTCAGTGTTATAAAAGACAATTTGTAAATGCTCATAAAAAAGAACATCATCTGTTTGTTCTGTTTGTGCTGAAACTGCTCTTTCTTCTTTCCACAGTCATGCTGAAGATCTCATAGTCACCCCTTTTGCTCAGGTAAGCCTCTTGTGTTGTGTCTGGCAAAGGGTATATAATGAGCGCTAATTGCTTGTCATGACTTGATGCAGTGGAGTTGAGTGATGTCCTGCTGTTCACCTCTTTTTCCACACAGGTGTTGGCTAGTCTACGAACTGTCAGAAGCAACTTCACCATCCTCGCCAACGTCACGACTCCTACCACCACCATGTCAGTTCAGCTCTTTCATGCAACTGTTTCTTTATTTCAGCTCTGCCCCCTTATGGCCACCACTGGGTCCTTAACAGTAAACCAATTTTGCATTTCATTCACGATTAGAAAAATAAGAGTATGAACAGAATAAAGCATGTTTAGTTAACCAAAACTTTTACATTATAAAATCTAATCTAATATTTGAGAGTTAAATATTTTGTATATTTCTATTCTCTATTTTATATATTTTAAATATTTTCCATTAACTACTCCACCAACAAAAACATATATGGATTGCATATACTAATGTCGCTACTAAACACACTCAATGTGTTTTTTTTTCAACACATTCCATAATTTTTAAATTATGCACCATTTGGTAGGTTGATATGTCAGTTTATGGTAAAAGTACAGGGATTAATACAAATTCTATAAAAATCTGAAAAAATAAAGTGTAAGACAAATTTATTTAAATAATAATCAGTTTTTGAATACTAACTCATCTTTATTTTTTGAAGTATGCCATAAAATATTTCAGATTCTCATGTTTTTTTTTTTTTGTTTAACAATAAAACCAAAATTAAGTGTAAAAGTGCAACAGGATTATGCTTGTTTGATTTTCTTGTAAACTAACAATGCTGTGTGTGTAAACCATTAATTAATACAGCCATTCTTTAAATGAATTTAACAGTCATCCATTTGGTAGAGCAGGCAGTTAAATGGTTAAAGTTTAATATTTGTTAACACACTCAATTTCTCCAATCATAATCTAAGTAGAGTAAGAAAAAAAAGAAATCTCCACATGATCTCATTGGGTTATTCTGTTAATATGTGACCCAGGATCATAAATACAGTAAATAAGTGTAATATAATTTTATTCACATAAAAGCTGAATTAATACATTTTCTAATGATGTGTGGTTATTTACAACTATTTGACAATCTGGAATCTGAACTTGGATGAAAATATTGAGAAAATTGCCTTTTTAAGTGTTTAGCTATGCATTATCAAAGATTTAGTTTTGATATATTTAAAGCAGGGCTGCCCAAACTTTTTCTTATAAAGGGGCAAAAACCAAACTTGATTGAGGGTGGTGAGCTAAAGGTAAATATAGTTGCCAGATGCAATTCCTAATTTATTTAATAATCTATTTTTAAAAAAAACTAGAAAACATTGGTCCATCTGTCCAATGACAGTATTTATATTTTTAAAAATCTGATTCATTTTCAACATTTAATTGAATCATTTAATTTCAGTTTGCTTTGATTGTAGTTCAGCAATAAAACAAACAAAAAAAGGTCATGTCAAAAAAGAAATGATGATCTCTTTTAAAGGCATTCGCCCCAACTGTCTCCATCCTTTTCACTCTCCTCTCAGATAGGATTGTGGGCCACATCAAAGATTGCAAAGGCTCTACTTTGGACATCTTTGATTTAAAGTTTAATATTCATGGAGCGAAATTTTTACTTAATAAAGGATGATTAAGATTCTGTAATTTTGACCCAGACTTGAATAGTCGTCCAGAGTCACATATATCCTAATACTATGTTTCTCAACCATATTCCTGAAGGAATTCCAACTCTGCACATTTTCCACGGCTGTTTCTCAATTACAAGGATGCAGAGAGTGGACTCATGTACTTGTGAAGACCGGTCTTGCCAGGTCACCTTGGAAGAACAAACTCTGGAGAACACACGCATGCTGTGATAAATGAGATGCTGTGTTCTTCCTGATGGTTAGATGACCTTCACGCAATTATAACTGAAAATTATTTAAACTATATAATTCATACAACGATTTATTGTTATTTCCCTTTTCAATATAACAAGCACAAAAACCTTACAAATATATTAGTACAATACAAATAAAACAGATTTTAAGACAAAATATAGCAAATAAACTAAACTAAAACAAGCTCAAATACACACTTGTTTTGTGTATGTTTACTTTTACCATCTCATTTAGGGAAACTCCTGAGATAAATAAGTTCAATCTCTGAACTTTAGTAATAAATCTATATGAAATGCTGTGCGTCCTACCTCCTTTATTCCGTCACAACGACTTCCGGGACTTCTCGAGCAAGTTCGGTGCGTAAGTCTGCATCGATGCATCCTCATTGTCAAGAACGCATGTGGGAACTTTCACATATCCTCCTTCTTACAGTCTTGAGTTTAGAAACTTAACTTTGGCGGTTGATGATGAAGTTACACAAGGACGCAGGAATGCTGAAGAACGCATATTGAGAAACAGCCCATGTCTCCTAAACCAAACACACCTAATTCAGATCATCAGCTGGGTGGGTGACAGACAAGGGAGGCATCCAAAACATGCAGTGCTGGTGGTCCTCCAGGAACGTGGCTGAGAAACACTGTCCTAATATGTATTCTGGTAAAATATGTTGACTGATTTCATTTCAGTTTGATTAAAAACTGTCCCATATCAACTCAAATCAACTGTTAACACTAGAATACTAGCTTAATTTATTGAGGTAGGCGTTTTTTACAGACAAAAAAGAGGTTAACACTCACTTTTTTGCATTTTCCTTATTAGTGAAAACATATCAGCACCTATATTTGTTCCTTGTATAATAACATGATTAGTGTATTTCGATTAATTTGTGAGTGATAAAGTAAACAATTTTAATAAGCACCCCAAGTTTTTACATTGCTCAGTGCAGGCCTCTTCCTAGTGAGCAATACTATTTGGATTTATGCCAGCAGAGGGAGACCTCCTCCAACATCACTGATGTAGTTATCTCTTCTGTCCACAGGAGGTCACCAGTGACCAGCCAACCCACAGTTCCCCCAGCAACGCTCTCAGGTACGTTAACTGTACTGTGCAATGTAGTCACTGGTGAGCTTTCTATCTCCCACATTAACACTCTCTCCCACACAGTGTCTCTCACATTACGCATACACTTCCTCTTGTAGACGCTGTTGCCAGTAAAATTACAGCATCAGAAATAGTGAAGCCATATGGGAAACAGGGACTGGAACCTAACCAGAAGCTCTAACTAGCCAAATAACAGCCCTCGGTTGCTAGTTTATATGAGGAACTATGAAGCATATCAGTTGTGAAGGTACTGAACTTTTGAACGCAGCTCTAAAATTAGAAATGCAATTGCTCCTATTTGTTATAATCATGCTTTTATACCCTCTCTTACAGACAATGTTTTTGAGCAATGGCAAGATAAAGGAGTTTTCAGTGATAAAGATTTATATATTAATAATAGTTTTGCCACCTTTTCACAATTGTCTGAGAAATTCAATGTCCGCCTAAATATTCCAGATTTTATTTTTAAACTCTCCAAATTCTAGGGGCCTAATCTCTTGAATTTTTAATGCTTTTAAAAACAAAACAGATTTTTCTTCTCTTCATTTGAAAGTCACTTGGGAAGAAACTTTGGAATTATAATATCTGAGACTGAATGGGATCAATGCCTTTCATCTGTTTATTCATGCTCTATAAATTCAAGACACCACCTTATTCAGTACAAAGTATTACATAGACTTTTTTAATTTAAAACAAAGCTTTATACATTCTATGCCTCGGTTTCCCCCACATGTGACAAGTTTAAAGCTGCTGAAGGTACCTTAGCACATCTTTTTCAGTCCTGTGTTCAAATTCAGAATTTTTGGTGAGAAATATTTAAGTTCTTTGCTGACGTTTACTATTGTGTTTTACTCCCTGACCCAATGATCGCAATTTTTAGATATACCACTTCTAGGAACTCTGAGAAATTTGATCAAATGTGAGATCCAGTATTTTTTTATCTAAAACATCATAAAGACAAATCGTGTTGTTTAATTTCTGAAGAAATTAATTTCTCTTTTTTTCATCCATTGCTGTGTCTTTTTGTAGGTCATATATGTCTTGTGTGTCGCCATATTCTCTTGTTTCATGCTTTATTTTATATTTTGTACAGATTATTGTTTTATGATGGGTTTGTCAGTCTGTCCTTTGTTTTTCTGTTTGCAAAAGTTATAATAAAAAATCAGAAATGCTATTGCTTATATACTGTACAATCTCAGCAGGCATATATAGAACAATAAGCCTTTGATGTTTAAAAGAAGAATCAAAGTCCAGTAAATCGGTGGCTCAGTGGTTAGCACTGTCGCCTCACAGCAAGAAGGTCTCTGGTTCGAGTTCTGGCTGGGCCAGTTGGCATTTCTGTGTGGAATTTGCATGTTCTTCCAGTGTTCGTGTGGGTTTCCCCTGGGTTCTTCGTTTTTTTCTACAGTCCATATGTAGGCACTATAGATGAATTGAATAAACTAAATTGGCCTTAGTGTATGTTTGAATGGGTGTGTATAAGTGTTTCCCAGTACTGGGATGCAGCTGGAAGGGCATATGCGGTGTAAAACATATGCTGGATAAGTTGGCGGTCCATTCCTCTGTGGTGACACTTGATGAACAAAGGGACTAAGCCAAAGGAAAATTAATGAATGAAATGTAGTATATTTGAATAAGTACAGGTCAGTATAAATATCCAGTGTCATTTTACACAAACACTGAAAGACTAAAAAGTATTTGGGTTAAGCATGTGTGGTCTAATGTTATGCAATGACGTTCTAGAAATTTAAAATTAGTTTTGTCTTTATTGGAAGTTTAGTCATTTATATAATATGTTTTTTTTTTATGTCATTAAGAACAGAATCCCCTTTATACAACGTTCATATAGAAATCATTAGTCTAATGTAGAAATAGGCTGACAGAATACAGATGGCAAACCAGACTTCTTTACCTGACCTCAGTGATGCAGATTTCTGCATCTAGTCAAACACGGTAGAGGAGCATAAACTGATATAGTAGAAACATTTTATATTTTTCAAAATGTTCAAGACCTAAGGGCAACACTAAGGTCAGACATTTTTTACATGTATATGGACACTTGAAATTTAATTAGAAAAGAATTCGTAACGAATCTGAACATGGATGTTAAATAAAGTGATGCAGTACAAATCCTATGGTATGCACACTACATGAATAGCGTTTCTCGCATGTTTAAAATACTAGCAATGTATACTAGTAAATCCTTCTGCTTTTATCTTGTTTTAGGTCCTGTGATTACAGTATCTGTTTGAGGTGATGAGGTGCAAGTAAAGCTACATGCTGCACTTCCTGTATTTATCAAGTGGTAAAAGTAACATATTCCATGAACAAAATGAGTTTACGGATGAATGTTAGGAGCAGCACTGCCCTGCCCCACCATTATACAGATTCAAGGTGAAATGCACTAAATTAAGCTCACTGAGGACATCTGCTGGTTACCCAGTGCTTTTAAATAACAGATTACAAATACTCAGATTACTGTAATTGAGTAGTTTTTCTCAGGAGTTGTAATTTACTAAGTAGTTTTAAAAATGTGTAAATTTACTTTCACTTAAGAACATTTTTAGTGCAGTATTGATACTTTTACTTCACTACTTTCCCTCAACCTGCAGCCATTCATTCATTAATTTTCTTTTTGGCTTAGTCCCTTTATTAATCCAGGGTCACCACAGCGGAATGAACCGCCAACTTATCCAGCATGTTTTTTATTCAGCGGATGCCCTTCCAGCTGCAACCCATATCTGGGAAACATCCACACACTCATTCACACTCTTTAACACTCATACACTAGGGACAATTTAGCCTACCCAATTCACCTGTACCGCATGTCTTTGGACTGGGGGAGAAACTGACCAAGCCGAGGCACGAACCAGCGACCTTCTTGCTGTGAGGTGACATCACTACCTACTGTGCCACTGTGCGTTGCCAACCTGCAGTCACTACTTTATTATTTTAAGTCTATGGGGATTAGAAAAATCAGTCCTGTGATTCCTGTCCAATCCTTCGGATGGTAAATCGCATCATAATGAACTACCTCAAGACATGGGTGATTTATACATGCAGTAAACAGTTGGAAGCAGTGGTGTAGTCCTAGAAAAAAAGTGGTGTACTATTACACCTGACACAAATTTTAAATGAAAGTAGGCAAAGAAACGACGAAAGTCAATGTTTCTTGGATTCATTGGAGATGTATATACACACACATATATATATATATATATATATATATATATATATATATATATATATATATATATATATATATATATATATATATATATATATATATATTTTTTTTTTTTTTTTTACATCAGTTACCTGTATTTAAGTTAACTCAAAAGGGCCTGTGTATACATGGAAAGACAGCTTTTTAGCTTACTTTCTTTACTGGCTTATTACTTTACATTTTATAGTTTCCTTTAAACATCAATCAGCAATTATTTTTAATTGTCACATTCATGCATACCTGTTTTAAACCAAAGGAGTCTGTCTTCTGTTGTCGCTATTATATTGTTACCCTTTTACATTGCACATTGTTACGCGATTTATGAGTAGTCTTTGTCTAATTGTTTTTAGTGTTATGTAGGGTATAGTGTCGTTCACTAGCGGCACAATTAAGACAAATGTGAAATACTGTTTTACAGGGGCGATTTTAGGATTTTAATTTTAGGGTGGATCAGGATCAGATCCTTTTGGGGTAAACAAAGAAAAATGTGTCATATATATAATTAAGTAAGAATTATAAGAAATAGGCCCATCTTACCAAATTAAGTTGTGAGTTAAAAAAAAAAATGTTTGGTATACAGTTAAAGGGGACGCAAATAGATGTAAATTAGGGAAGTTTAATCAGAAAAACAAGTGAGTATACTGAGGGTATACTCAATTATTGATCCTTAGAAGTGGTAATACCCAAACAGCTCATGGAAAAAAGTAAGCATACTGAGTATACGTGCGTATAGCAAGGACTACACCACTGGTTGGAAGCATTAAAAGTGTATAAGAAGATTTCCAAACTCTTTACACGTATTGACCCAGAGACTGATGCATGTTTGATGCAAGTTTAGATGCATGTCACTGATGAGAAGATATACGACAGATGTTTACTGTATGATGACCAAAATGTTGCATTTTGTTTGGAAATGAAAATTGTTTTGAGGTCAGAACTCAACGTCAGGCCGACGTCAATGTCCAAAGTCCAACCTAAAATCTACCAAATATCAACATCTAATGATGTAACAGCTTGACGTTGTGTGGACATAACCACTATGAATTATATCAGATGTAGGTGTTTGGTTGCCATACCTGACAAATAAAAACCAGTTTTTGACGTCAGTATGAATTAAGATGTTGGCTCAATGTTGGATTTTGGTCACTTTTTAACAACCTAAAATCAACCAAATATCAACATAATTTGATGTTTTTATTGGATATCAAAATAAAGTCCTTAGACACTGGCTAGACATTGAATTTTGGTCACCTGACGTCATGACCTAAATCTAGCCTAATATTAACGTCTTATGATGTTGTGTGCCGGCTGTGCAATAACTAAATGCACTACAGCATGTTACGTTTACACACATCCACAAATTACATGTAAATAAATCAGCATTTTAAAGCATAAAACTCACTACTCTTAAGTGCTTTTGAAAGGGCTACTTTTTACTCATACTTTAAGTAATATTTACAACAGATACTTTTACTCTACTTGCACTACATTTTTAAGCAAGTAATGGTACTTTAACTTAAGTATGATTTTTCAGTACTCTTTCCACCACTGTGGTTACCATTCAAATACAACAAGAACAGTAAAAACTGAAGCAGTATTTGTATAACATACAATAAAGATATCATCTATCCAGCAGCATCTGTTTTCCCATGGTATAGCAGCTGTGTTTAAAGATGAAGAGGAAGGGGGTTGGGGTGCTGTTATTACATTTTAGAATGAGAAATACAAGGTGTGGCGCGAGAAAGGGTTGAAATGAGACAAAACCCCACCTATATGTGTGTTTGTTTCATGAGTCCGCTGTATCTTTTTGGAAATGATATTATTTCAATGTAATATTTTTTTTCTTATTGAGTTTTTTTTTCTTAACATTGTAATTATATTATTCATAGGGCTCATTTAAACATATAAATAGGTTACAGTGCATTTCTAAAACATAGTGCTTCATTAAGCAGCCTATAATAAAATAAATAACAATATGCACAGACAGGCCCGGCTTGATGGGGGGCCTGGCCCACCCAATCAGCAGCCTGACCCACTATCGCCCCACATCAGATAACAACTATTTTATTTGCGATGTGATTCATAACTGAGAAAACAGCATACATACGACGTGTCCATGAGATTTAAAAACATGTTTTGGCAAGCCAGGCTGATTTAGAATCATTTTAAACCATTCAAGCTGAAAAAGGACCTAATATGGCATAGAGCGCAGATTTCTGTGCACATCACACGTCTTATATCATTTTATGCAGTCTTAATTCATACAATAGAAAGTCTTAAAGAAAGCAAACAGTTTAGCAGCACTGAGTAGGATAAACGGGAGATCTTTTGGGATCGGCCCACTTAAACATTTTCGGCAGTGAAGTTCGTGCAAAAGTGTAACATTCAAGATTCTAACACGTGCTAAGCACTTTGTTGCCGTTTGTGTCAAAAACATTATTATTTTGATACATATCCACACATAATTTTGCTTTTGCTTTGCTCTCTCTAAACGCACTCACTTCTCTCCTGTCCCTGACCTGTATAAACAATACCGAGATGTTAGTGACTGATTCAGTATCACTGATTCGATTAATTAAAAAAGACAGGCCTTGTAAAGTGCTGTCAATTGATGATTTTTCAATTTAAATCTCTCAAATTATTATTTTTGATCTCCCTCAGTTATTGGACTGTCTAGCTGACAAGGTAAAAACGTCAAAAACATGCTAGACGTCTTGAACTGTTACTGTTCACTGTTGTGCTTAACGGTACTGAGAATTCAAGATGTTTCAGAGAGCAAGTCAACGCACACACTTAGAGCGTTGTGGTAAAAGCACACTGAACGCCATATGCGCGTCGATTAAATCATGTTTTATGCAAAATAAACACTGAAAATGTTTTTGATAGGCTATAAACAGTAATGTATTAGTTATCTACCACTAACAAGTAGGCTAATATGCAAAGATCTGTTATTCAAAAAATTGTTATTAAAAATACTAACGTCCATATTGGCTCTGGTGCATTAAATAATAATTAATAATATTTTTCAGATTTTTTCAAAATCGCAAAATCTAGAAAATGGTGTGGAATGTTGATTTTTTTTAAGGTATCCTCTCGAAGTTGGACATTCCAGCACTGTGACATCACTAGTTGCAGTTATTCTAAAGATTATTATTTGCATTAATAGCAATATGGGTGATTATATTGCATGTATAGCTGACATTTCAAAAAGTTACAGGATTAAACTCTTTAAAAACAGCAATTATTTCTAGTGTCTTATTGAAAGCATATTTAATTTTTATATGTCAGCTTTTGCCATATGTTTTACATGTTTCACTTTGAGAGAAATAAACAGCTTTTTATAATGTCTGTAAACTCTGTTACGGATGAATTTACTAATGTGAAGAAATAACAATAAACCATAGCAAGAAAAATTCTTATGGGTAGTTACTAAATTGTAACTAAATTATCCGTAACAATATAAATAACACTCATAGGAGTGCAATATGGCTGTATATCGCCTCCCACCAGTGCCGATATACAGCCATATCGCACTGCTACTCGTGTGATATCGCTCACATATATATATATATATATATATATATATATATATATATATATATATATGTATATATATATATATATATTTATATATACACACTTTCCCAGAGATGGGTTGCAGCTGGAAGGGTACCCCGAATTAATAAAGGGACTAAGCCGACAAGAAAATGAATGAATATATATACACACACTTTTTTGGCCCACCTGGAATGTTGCTTGGCCAAGCTGGAGCCGGGCTAATGCATGTCAACATAGCACTGTGTATGCGTCTTAAAGACATCTGAACATGACTGAGAAAGTAGACATTTACATCATCATTTGTTTGCTGTTGGATCAGATTAGAGAAGGAATAAACTTCCAAGCCAATGTACATAAATTGCATTCGTATCGAGCTTACTCAGATCAAACTTCTTTGAATTCGATTGAACCATCAGTCTAATGACAAATGGATTATTTGATGGCATGTAAAGGTAGCAACTGCCTGCTATTGATGTATACATGGAATGTAGTCAATTGAATAAGTCCCATTAGTTGTGCTTTCCTCCACCTCGATTATTGCTATTCACCTAAACTTTTTTTGCCTGAGAACAATTGCTCTATTTGTATTTATAATGTGCTCAAGCATCTCAATTTTACTGTATGCCAATGAAACAAGCCATCACTTTTAACAATTGTTAAGCTTCTTATGAGAGAAAAGATTCATTATTTATGAGGCATTTGATCTCTTCATATGACGTTCTTAAAATATTCATGCTTGGCAGTTTTTCTATAAAGCCATCACTCTGACAATGCTTTATGTCCTCCTGTCAGGAAACAACATCCCCACTGTTCACAAATGAAGATCTCACTGTGCCCCCCCCCTGTGAGTGTAAAAAGCATGTGACAATGCTGTTTGCGTGGTGCTTATAGCTGTGTCTTGTGTCCTATACAGATGAGACATACCAGCAGCTGGCCCGGGAGACACTGGAAGAACTGGACTGGTGTTTGGACCAGCTGGAGACCATTCAGACCCACCGCTCTGTTAGCGAGATGGCCTCCAATAAGGTGTTTCTTCACTACTGTTACATCTGTAAAGCCTAGTTTGCTTCCCGGAGGAATGCTTTATTTTCTCTGTCCCACTTTCTCAAAGACAACTTTTGTCCACACAGTCTACCATAAGGTTGTGACCTGACCACACATTTGGAATTTGTTTTGTTCATTCTAATTCACCATATATGGTTTCTGTTTCTCTTGCGATGTATTTTACAATTCATGTAACATGACAAATTAGAACAACATCTGCCATTCTGTAGGTTATCACTCATGAAGGATTTTATGTGTGCGGTCAGATCTGTGTGAAGTCCATTCTAATTTTAAAATGATCATCCGTAGACAGGGATACAAATAGCTTTTGTATGCGATTCTGCCAACCTTGTCATACACACATTGCTCTGGTTTGAAAGTGTAGGAGAGATGGATATATAGAGAGAGAGGGATGGAGAGAGAGAAAATGGTTGGGTTTGTGTATGGGGAGAACAGGAAGGGAGGAGGGGGCTGCAGTTTGGTCCTGATGCCATTGTTTCTGCTGTAACCTTCGTTGCTATCGAGCTGCAGCAAGGTCTACCCTGCCAGTTTAACCATTGGCTCTACACTGTGGCCATGAGGCATGTGATTAAGATGCTGGCCAATGAAAAATCGGTTTCTCTCTTCCTCTGCTTGCTGGTTTAAAGAGACAGTGCCATGAAGACTTTAAATATGCAGCTTTTCCTTGCACCATATTGCTGGTGTTCCTTGTGTTTTACTGTATAGCTAATAAGATGTGAGCATGGGAAATAAGCAGTGTTTTTATATTTGTAATAATCTTTGGTTGAATTGAAGACTGTGGATGATAGAGGCAAAGCTTACTTGAAAGCTGAAGATGGGACACTTAGACACACACATTACCACTGCTTATGCATACAAGCTAAATCATTCATGCTTCATTATCAAATCATTAACCAAATCATTGATACAAATACTAAAGCCTTGATTCCCTTAGTTAAATGCTGTATATGAATATACACATACAAATGTTTCTCCATTTTCCACACTCTTACATGCTGTCTGCTGCACATGCGCTTTCAGGGTGTGTGTGCACGCACACACACACACACACATACACACACAGCACTAGCACACACACCCAAGCACGCGCCTGCTGCCACAGCGGCTGATTAGCTTGCGAGATCTGTCTACAGCATCCAGGGAAACAGAGCGAGAGGCAGAGCATCGGCTGAGCTGCATCGCCGATTCTGACGCTGTGTGTGGATTAAACAGTGGGGCTGCTGATGAGAGCTGTGTTGTGCTGACAGGACTGGTATTGCGCTTCTTGGACTGTCTGCTCTGAACACAACTCGCTGGGAACGCTGGGCCCGGGTCCTGGAGCTGTGCAGTGGGGGAGGGGCGTCGACGCAGGGACAGAGAGAAAAGATGTTTTTCCAGACCTCCGCTCTATTGTAGTTTGACTTCTGACTAAAAGCCCCATCTCATCTGTGTTTAGGTGTCTCGTTCTTCCTGTCGTCCTCTGTCTACATTGATTGTTTCCTCCTGCTGTTACCTGTGTGTTGTTGTTTTACTTATCCATCCTGTCATCCCTGTGTCTGCTAGCTATTTGCTCATCTGCTTGCTTCTCCTTATCTCTTGCGACTACTCTGCTCTTCTTCCCATCACATCCTTTTGGTGTCCTTCAGACGGTCCCGTCTCTTTGGCACAGAATCTTTTTTTGTTCCACCCCTAGTCCCTTTCCTCTCTCCTGCTGGATCAGGGTCAGTTCAGCTCCGCTGATGGGATGAGATGTAGTCCATTTGGCCTGTGGATTTGGGCGGCTCCTGGCGGGCCGTTCACAGGGGACATTCACCTGCAGATCGCCGTGGAGCCCGCTCAGTGGTTTTTAGGAGGGCCTTGTTCTTGAACAGCTTGCTGCATGTAGAAAGGCAGCCTTTGCAAGCGCTTGCCGCTGGACTTTTACCCTACTTGCTCCCCGCCTCTTGGGGGCAGCCGTCACTCTGGAGCACCCCGGCCTGCTAGGCTGTGGCCTCTCTGCCCACACCCTGACTACACCCACATGTCGCTGGGGCACCCGCCGTGCTTCGGCCCCTGTGCATTTCCGCACCTCCTGCCTCTGCCAACGGTCCATGCCATCAGTCACCCTTAGCATGGGTGTAGTGGAGGCCATTGATCCGCCACCCTCCCCTGTGCCTGGAGGCTACCGGCTGGCCCACTCCTCCAGCTACAGCCCCCTGCAGGGGAGAAGAGGGTCAGAGCTGGAACTTGGGGCAGCTGCGGATGGGGTGCTGGATGGGGGGAGTCAGGCCACCGAGCGTAGGACCGCGTTTATGGATTTGTTCTGTGAGACCTGCTCCAAACCCTGGCTGATTGGCTGGTGGGATCAGGTAGGGTCAAACTAAAAAAAGTTACTAAAAATCTTTTGGTCAACATTTCAGGTCCTAAAAAGGACAAGGGTTGATTGTTCAGCAGGAGGATGATAATGATGATGATGATGATGACGATTATAAACAGAAATCCTAAGATGTAACTAGGACAACTAAGAGGAAAGTTGTTGTACTGACTAAGCTGTAATTTTTCAGGAACAGACTACACAAGACAGATGTTTGATGCATGCTGGGTACTGTATATCCAATTTTGTATGATCTCCAGTGAGAGTTTAAACCTGAACACTAAAGTTAGGTACTTATACGATGTCACTTTGAGATGCAGGGAGAAAATGGCTGCCTCCGTAGCACTTGGCTTATGTTGTTTCACTGTCTAGAGGACCTGAATGTTGGGCTTGTGTCTCAGGACATCTCAGCTTCACAGTTGCCCTTTTCTCCAGCTTTATCATTTGCTTTCAGGCTGGACTAGAAATAGGCTTTATTTGACCAATATTTTATAGTATAGTTTTCTGGATAGTTCCTTCATCAGACCATATCTGACATGTATATATTATTTATGTTCAAATGTGACAGGCTTATTGTTTTTAATTATATTGGCCAAGGATATTTACCTTTATCATGGGCTAAACCTAAGAACTGTACCCAGAATGAAATAAAAACATTGGGACGGACAGTAAATATGCCATATTTTGATACTTAAATGTATCTGAACTTTTGCTGTGTATACTTTTATATGATTTCTCTTTTATTGTACGGTGTCTATGAATTGCAAATGGCGCCTTTAAATAAAATGTATTATTATTATTATTATTATTATTTCAGCATCATGAATTAGGATTCTCTCCATTATGTTTTGTATTATTTCTTTAACCTTAATTGTTGTATGACAAATATATTATATGTGTGTAGCTTAATGAAGCTTTAGACATTACCATAATTACCCTTTAACAGGCATCATAACCACCTATTTGACCTTTAATCCATAGGTTATCATTATTTTTTTAATTGCTTATTACTATTTATCGGAATTGTGTCAGTATTCAATGCAAAATGTGGGCCAAAAAATTATTTTCAAGCAGTGCACCTTAAAGGGTTGAACTGCAAATGCACTGCTTTTAAGATTAGCATAATCTGAGACCTACCAAACAGCAATGATGCATTTATTAATAATGCATTGAATGTGTTATATATGGAAATAGATTATTTATTAAAAACAAATTTGTTGCTGTCATTTTTCCTGCCTTCGTTTGATCAAACTTAATCATCAAGCTCTGTCCTGACTAATAAAGCAAACAGATAGTATCAGACTTCCCTAGTAATACATATTTGTATTCATTTGGTCAGATATCCTTTCCACATGATCTGGTCTCAACTTGGTCCTCTAGAGGATACATGCATGCTAAAAACAGTTGGCACTCCGTGAATGTTTTAATAATGACTCAGCACAGTACAAACAGAGCCTCGGTACAGTATGTAATATGCACTTGCTGCACAGGAAAGATCATTTTGTAAATGCAGCTTAATATGAACGCAGAGCTTGGTTCTGTGAGCTAGATAAACACTGTACATTGATCCCTGAGGGATAATTCAGGAAGATTTGGGTTTACAGTGAGTGAGTTGATGGCCCTGACAGGAAATTAACTTGAATTCACTTGAAAATCACACTAGGCATTGATTGTTTTTTCCTATTGTGTTGCTGGTCATTTGGCATTTCTGTGTGGAGTTTGCATGTTCTCCCCGTGTTCAAGTGTGTTTCCTCCGGGTGCTCTAGTTTCCCCCACAGTCCAGATACATGGAGCATAGGTGAACTGAATGAGCTAAATTGGCCGTAGTGTATGTGTGTTAATGAGTGTGTATGGATGTTTTTCAGAGATGGGTTGCTTCTGGAAAGGCATCCGCTGCGTAAAACGTATGCTGGATAAATTGTCGATTCATTCTGCTGTGGTGACCCCTGATTAATATAGGGACTACGCTAAAAGAAAATGACTGAATGAATGTTGCTAGCTGTAATGACTTGACAACAAAAACAAAGCATATGATTGTGCATTTCTAACACACAAATCCATGTAATACAGGATAAATACACGCAAACCACTGAACAGAGACACAATCAATGCTACAATATGACTGCAGAAGGATATTGTATGTCATTATAAAAATGAAGAGAATGCAAAGGACAGACATGGAGGGAGACAAAAAACTAAAAGGAGGGCTTAGAGCAAGATAAAGACAGAATAGAGGAGCGATGGAGAGTGATACAGAGAGTGTTGACCTTGGAGGAGGTCAGAGACAGACACCTGCCTACTCTCTCAGATTGTCACCCAACCCATCGCCTCGCTCCCATCATGCTGCAGGAGGGACTGTGAGGAGGCAGTTGCTAAGGAAACCGGCTGGTTTCCATGGAGATTGTAATGTGTGAAGGACCAGTCAGTGGGACAGACCAGGGGTCTTATCGGTTTTGTGCTGTGCAACTGTGTAGTTGTGTTATCTGCTGAAGTTGCATGATTTTAGTCACTTGAGGCACATGCTTGGTTCTTTTAAAAGACTGTCACGGGTTATTTTTGGTGTCTTGAACAACTATGTGCTTACATAAGAAATTATCAATGCATAAGTACTATGTTCACAGGTTTGTTA